ATTCTTATTGATTGATTGATTGATTGATTGATTGATTGATTGATTTTGATAAAGATAACTAAGTGCATTGTATAGCAATGACCCATTTATTTCATGTAATCCTAAAAATACTCCCAGGGAAGAAACAGATGATATATTTTTAATCTTCATTTTACAGAGGAGAAAACTGAAGCTGAAAAATGTTAAGAAATCATTTGGATCTTTGAATTTGAAATCAAATGAATTTTCTTGGCAAATTAGGGAATTTTTCAACCCTAATTTAGGTCACAACTTCTGGCATGTTGAAATTTTCTTGTTTACATTACCTGTTGACATTTGTATTTACCCATTTATATTTCAAATTCCTGAGATGGGAAAATAAATAAAGAGGAAGCAGTTCCTCTGAGAAGAACATGAGGTTCATGTGCCACCTTAATTTCAACCAGGAGGAAATACATTCATAACAAAACATAATCACAGTAATATTCAAAATCAATTTAAGCAAACCAGAGTGGCATAATTAAAGTCAGAGCTCGAGGCCTCTTTCCAAGAGAATAAAATAGATTGAAATAACCACCCCCACAAAAATATAATTAAATTAAATATGCATGCATGTTGTTGAAGAATAATCATTACACTAGACCCCAAAGAAAAATTTATTTCTAGTCAATTAAAAAAATTTGTTACTGATTTTTTCTCCCCAATAATTTAGCAATTTTGAAAGGCACAAAAATGCATCTGAGGTTAAAATATGAAGGTGCCAATGACAGAAAACTGGATTGTTTGAGATAAACCCAACAGCTACCACATCACAATCATAATTTTCTCCTCCACCACATGCTATCTGCCCCCCACGTGCTTCCATTTCCTCCGAAATGCAAGTCTATATGCACTTCACATTATCTAATCATGGGGTGCTTTTTTTTTTTCCTGTTACATTAGGATTTCTTTTATTTGAGTTCGGGAGGAAGGGGTGCATCCCACAAGTTAGACATTCTCTCAGGGCTGATTTTACAAACAGTGTCCTGCGATCCAGAATGTTCATTCTCGGGTCTTCTATAAGAAATAATATTTGCACTAATAAATGTTTCCTCTGCTACTATTGGTGAAGCAATTAGGCTTTCCCGACACTCTTGCCACGAGCGCAGGCTGATCTGCAGGCGGCTGCTGGCTCCTGGCTAATCAATCATGTTTCTCAGCTGCGTTGTCAATCAGAACCTCGCCTGAGTGGCCTCTATTGACAATCTCAGCGTGCGGATGCCTTCCCGCTCCCTCACCTCTTTCGGGTTCATGGTAATACAGACTTAGAGCCTGCTGTTTTTTCATCACAGAGTGGAATTTTTTCATTTTTCTCTGCTTGTGTTGGTTCTTTCCCCCTGTTTTATCCTCTCAAGACTATCATAGAAAATACAGTATTCAACATGAATCCCCCAGAGGGCTTCCCAATGTAACTTCAATATATATTATCCTGTACTTCATTTATCTTCCTTCTCCTTACCTTTAGACACCTCAGACTACATCCTGCCAATCCCTATACCACCTAGAAGCATCTGTACTCCATCTTTTCCTGTTTCTGACCTAATATTTATGACTTCTCCTCAGTGTCCCGAAAGCCTTAACTAATTGTCAACTGGGAATGGCATCGTTTATCCTGGGTCAAAATGGTCCCTAATTATGTTTATTTTTCACTGAATATTGACAAATTATAATTGTTGTATTAATGGGGTAAGAAGCGATGCTATGATATATGCATCCAATGCAGAATGACTGACTCAAGCTAACATACCCATTGCCTCAAATACTCATCATTTATTCCTTTTAACTGAAACTTTATACCCCTTGACCGACATATCCCCATTCTCCCAGCCCCAGAATATTCCTAATTTTATCATCAAACTGTATAGGCAGCAACTTCACAAGCTCAATTTTTCAACAGTACCTCAAATCTCAAATAATCGTCTCCTTGAACCAATTTTAGAAAATCTGGCCACAGTACACTTAAATGAACTTATTTTAAGTAGTTATGGTATTGACATCTTTCTATTTTGTACACTCCAAAAGTGATCAACACTAGGAAAATGCCTATTTCAATGAGAAATTGGATCTTTCTTTTTCTGTAAACTAAAAGGAAAGCAAACTGAAGACAAAGGCCAAGGCTCATTTGGAATGTGTTAGTTCATCCCCTTCCCCCCACCACACCAGAGCAGATGCAGGAGACCAGAAATGAGCTGGCAAGAATGCACACACCTGACTAACCTCATCCACCCTCACACTCCAAGAAACCTCAGCCACGACAGCATAAGGGGTATTCAGGAAGGATCCTTTGCTCTCTACTTCCCACAAATCCTGGATTCACATTTTCTTGATTTTCCTATTCCTGATAGGCTCCTTCCTCATTCCATCCACTCACAAGAAGCACCCAAGACAACTTGTTATTGGTACTTTGACAGCTTTTTTCACACAAACAAATATGGGAATGTGATTGCTTTTTATGAAATCTTTCCATGAAGAGAGATACTGGTCAGCATGAAAAGCATCAGTGTACCCAACAGTCTATTGATGGGAAACCAAAGAATTTCCTGCAAGGAATACCTCTGGGAATATTTGAGCTATATTTGTTAAAAAGTCATATTTTTTAAAAGGCAGCACAAACCATGGTGTTAACACAGCTGAAGTAGAATAGGTCAATTACAAACAGGAGGCAGCCTGTGGAAAAGGTGGCAGGGAGACAATAATGATAATTAACAATTATCATCATGGATAACATGCCAGACCTGGCACTAAGCACAGAACATGCATCTCTTTGTAAATCCTTACTACAGTCCCATGAGATGGATCCTGCTGCTAGGCTGAGCCACCAGCTGGGAAGCAGTGGAGCCAGCACTTGAATCCAGCACTTGAATCCAGACTGTCCACTCCAGTGCCCCAGTTTCTAAGTACTTTGCTATTCTGCTAGTTGGTCTGGGCTCAGCCCTGTCCAAGGAGCAGGTTATAACGTCCCTAGATTCCAAGCCCTCCTAGGCAAACACCCTTTGTTTTGATTCTATATCTACCAAATTGCCTTCAGATATAATTTGGCCTCTACTATCAGGACAACAGGGAGAGTTTTGTGAGTTATTTGAGAGTTGTTTCTGTTTCTGGAAAATGATCACTGTAAAATGATGAGCTGGCAGTTTCCTGCCTGCCTCAGTCTCCTATTCAGTTACAAAAGCCACATGTCTTAGGCCTGAGCACTCCCCAGCCGTCTAAGGTGAACCAATATTCCAGAAGCCCCAGTTCCACCCAGTCCTCCTTAATTCAGTATAAAACCTCCACCTGTTCCAACATCCTGTTTCCACTTTCTTCCCCCTAGACACCACAGTTCAGTTTCACTCTTAAGCTATGGGAAGGTGGCAAATGCTCGTTAACACTTTGATGATTTTACCTTCCATCATTTCACCCATATGCTCTTTTCCTCCTCTCCATATAAATACATTTTCTTTAAAAGCAAATGACTCCCCATGAACAGTACTCCTTGAAACTGGTTGACCATGGTTTGTGCTACCTTTGTATATCACTTCTACATCAGCTTGCCTTTATCCACTTTCTGGGCCCTCCCAAGAAGAAAAAAAGTAACACTTGAGCTAGACCTTTAGTCACCATGCCAACAAAATTCTATGTCAAATTCTATGTCTCTATATGCTCTGCCCAATACTTAGTTTTGTCCATGTCCTGGACAGATCATGCCCCAAAGAACTGCCTTGCCCACAACCATCTAAGGATCCCTCGACATGGGCATGACTTGACCCCACAGGAAGGCCCAAGAACCAAAGGGAGCCAATCTTAAGGTCAACAACAACTTATCAGGGCCTGATGTGAAAAGTGAGCTCAGCCCCTCAGTGTCCTCCCTTGGTAATTTGGCTGGGAAACTCTGGAAGCAGGGACAAGAAAGAAGAAGTGAGGGCAAAAAGGGACATGAGATTGAGTTTGGGGCAAGCTATGCACACACTGACATGGCAAGGGGTGAAAAATTACCATATAGAGGGGAACAGACTGCTTGGAAAGGAGTAGATGTGGAAAAGCATGTGCAAGTAATTCTGGTTCTCATTAACAGGATTTTTATAAGAAAGGATGAAGGATGCCTGGGGCTTGGGAGGAGGAGGGAAGAATATGCAAGCATCAAGGAAAGTTAAGGATGAGCAAATGATTGGCCCAACAGATACTGCAAAATTCTCTCACTTGGCTTTAAGCATTTGTGTATCATAGTTCTTTAAGATTAAAAAAAAAAAGCAATCCTGATGCCCTCAGTAACACACATAATATCCTAAATTCTCACCAAAGACAAAATTTTCCCGTCAGGACACTTAAACTTCTCATCTAGTCTTAACTAGAGTAAAAATGTATCTTTCCTTTACCAGGCATGGTTTTATATTTTATTCCCAAATTTATTTCATACTCATGAACTTATCCTGTCACTGCTACTTACCTTCATCCATTATACACAATTGTCACCCAAAAAGGTGAGGTTCTCCACTTTTATCCCAGCCCTGATCTGGGATTATGAAACTCTTACACAATGCCTCCTGCCCTGCCACCACCACAGTTTCCAGAAATAGAGTTTTCAGAACATATTTCAATTATGGCTGCTTAAATGACCCCTTCCTCTGTTCTTGCTGAATCCTCTATTTTGGAAAAGATGGACATTGAAGGGGATTATTGAATAGTCAAGTCAAAACTAAAACTAAAGCACAGATTCCAAGCCTTGCAGAGTGCACAGAAATGGTTGCCTGCCTTAATGGAGCTGCGAACACAATAGTGTAAATGTAGAACTTGGCATGTGGCCCGCAGGTCTCATTATTTTACAATTATAAACAGATGTCAAACATCAGTGTTGGCATTTAAAGCCTATAGAGTTGGTGATGTTTAAAATGGTTCGTGTCTGCTTTCTGCAAAGTTAAAGTGAAGAGAAGACAGGTCTGTTTAACACAGCATGTGTTTTTCCTAACCAGCCAGTGACAAGAAAGAGTTATACAGGTACTTACTATTTATAACTCATGGCCACATCCACGAAATACTTCCTTCTCTGTCGATAGACATTGTCCTTAAATCCCTTAAACAGAAAAGAGATTAAGTTATTTAACAAAGTGCTGAAAAATTAGCTGCAGAAGAGCTAAAAGAAAATTACTGTGGTGTTTATTGAATGTTCAATTCAAATGTAAATCTTATCCTCAGATGACCGACTTGATGACACAGGCTAAGGCAAATTGTGCTAACAGTAAAACCTCTTTCGATTTGAGCAATTTCGACTTAGGCTCTACCAATTTGGGATATGTGGGAATTCAGTCTACAGTTCACCTTTCCCCTAGGTAAACAGAATGGCTTACTTAAGCAAATTGATATTTTGAACAATATCTTTTAGTTTTCAAGTATCATTTACATGTAATTGATCTTAATCACACGTTAATCTTATCCTATTCATTAAAATCAGTCTCTTTAACATTGTTATTCAGTGAATGAACCTAATTTTAATGATTTGTGTAAATAACTAATAAATATGACATTTATTAAAAACACTGTCATCCAGAATAATCATCAGATCCCCAAATTAGTATAAATTAAAGAAGTTTTACTGTCTTTTATGACTGCAGCCACACAATGCAAAATTGATAAGGGATTAATGCACAGTGAAGCAGGTTAGCTCCACTCCACTCTGAGTTGCTATAATTCTTATATGTCTTAGCCAACTTCAAGGTTTTTATCTAACATCATCCACTTGGGAAAGTAAATACTGTGTCTGTCATTTTTCAGTCAAGTGGAATCCTTCTGAGAGGAATTCCTGGTGTACTCAACAACTTCTCCTCTTGCCACCATACGTCCCATTTTCCTTTCCTTCCCATACTTTCAGACAATCAGTTTTTTCCAGGGTGGTTCCTTCAAGCTGCTGGAAGCCCAGGAGGAATTGTTGCCATCTAACTTCTTACCTCTACAACCCAAGCAACCCCCTAGGATTTTGACCAGGAAGCAGTGCTCTCGGGCGACAGAAGCCAAACAAGAAGACAAGCCTCGGGGACCATGGGGTTGACAGTAAAGAACAGGGATGAGGCTCACAAAGGCCTAGACCCCCTCTGTGGCAATACAGATGTTCCTACAAGGTGGGCTGTTCAAGAAGCACCTCCAAACACACTAGGGAATGGTCCCATTTTCTTGTCGATTGAAAGAGAATGAGCCTCAAGGCCAAGAATCTTCACAGGACTGTCTGCTGGACAGTAATGAAAAATGCCCTTTCTTTCAAGAAGAACAAGAACATTATTAAAGAGGGGAGAGGGAAAAAAATGTCCTGAGATTACCCCAATACCTACAGAAATGTGATATCCTCTACCCAGAAGCTAGAACTTTCTTTCTTGTGCTATGAACTGGGAGTTTGTTTTTGTTCTTGTTTGTGGTGCTGGGGATTGAACACAGGGCCTTATGCATGCTAAACAAGCACTCTACCAACTGAGTTATATCCCCAGCTCTGATCTGAGAGTTTTTAAGTGGGGTCCATAGGCAGGCTTGTGAAGCCCTAAAATGTCTACAGACAAAATTTTTGTGACCATAATTACCACATTTACAAATGGGTCTGTGACCTAAAAAAAGGGGCCTCCTGCTGTAAAAGGTAGAACCAGGCATGCTAGAAAGTCCACTTCAATACCCACTAGTAAAACAGGACTACCTGGGGTAGGAAAACAAGAAATCTAAGCACTTTATCCTTCAAAAGAAAGTAGGCCACGACAAAAAGGAGCGTCCTGTGAACAGTGAAGCATCTGTTCCCTGGTTCCTGCCAGACTGGACACCATGGTAACAGCATCATAATCTGCTGGGCTTCCAGAAGAATCTCAACTGTCTCTCCTCAGCAAACACCTGCACCTTTTCCAGGGACGCAAGAGAGAGATGTACTCATCATGCCTCATTAGCCTGGAGTGGCAGTGATTACGCACATGTTGTGGGCGAGCCAGAGCTTCCTGGATTGAACCATGACTGGCAAAGTAATCAGCACTAGCGATTACAGAGACATAGCATTCCTTGCCCATCCATTCTGAATTACAGTAGGGACAGTGTTACCAGATAAAATACAAGATGTCCAGGTAAATTTCAATTTTAGATAAACAACAAAATTTTTCCAGTTTAATTGGGCATCATATATGTTTATTTGCAAAATCTGGCAATCCTAGTACCCAGCAAATACCTGCTACACAATTCCCCCCCACCCCACCTTCAATTTAAATCGAAGGGAGCTCAAGACCCATCCTGAACCCTAAAGCACCCAGCTCAATTTACCAGCTGACACTCAAGTAGCCATCCCAAATAGCTCAACCCTGGTGAGATATTAGAATCACCTGGAAAGCTTTAACTAGTACTCCAAACCTGGCCATATTCCCAGAGGTACTAACTTAAGCTCTCTAGGATGAGGCCCTGGCATCAGTATTTTTAAAAATGTTAGCTCTTACACTCAGAGCTCATCAGAACCTTCTCAGATCCACTTACATGCAGATGCCCGGGTCTTCCTTGAGAGTTCCCATTTGGTGGGCTTCATGTAATCCTCAAGATATTAGGAGCATTTTAGAAGTGGACCTTGAACCACACTTTAAAAGACCTTCCCAGTCTAGATCCTGACTACTCAGTATGGTCCCCATCTCCCCGTCACAGTAGGGCTTGACTAGGAGCTCACTAGAAATGCCCAATCACCATCTGCATTTTTAAAAGTTCTCCTGATGATTCTTCCATGAAAGCTTAAGAGCCACTGATCTAGATATTTAACCATTTCTAGGGAACTCCACCCAGCAGCATGATATATTCCAAGCCCTTTTTGAACTAGCCTTGTTGCAAGGATCCCTGTGTCTATCTCAGAACTAAGATTATTCTCAAGACACAAAAGTACCTAGACAACTTTTTGTTGTCTTCATCAAATAATAGCTTAAAAACACACCAACTTACCAATATCAAATTTTGCATAATGAACATTTGGTGTGCTTATAAAAGAAATGCATGTGGTTAAAAAAAATGACAGGAGAGGTAGGGGATTTCTAAGTACTTGCAATTATTTCAAGTGGTTGCACAGAAAATAAGAGAAGGTATCATAAAGTGAGTGTAATTAGGAGTAATGGAATAAAATTAAGCACAGGAAAATTTACTCTTAGTATTGGAATAATTTTTTTTTTCTCAGCAAGGTCAGTACTTCCTGTGGTTCTTCCAGAAAATGTCTAAACCCCTTTCTCCAGGTTGAGTAATTTTCAAACTAGACTAAAGGGAGCATTTGGAAATAGGTTATCGAAAAATCCTTTACTGTCCAGGCATTGATCTGGATGATTTAATACAGCATTTCCATTACTGGAATTAAGCATTTACTCTTGCCAAAATGCCTTTCAGTTGTTTTATTAACTAGGATTTTCAAACACCCCTTTGAGGTCAATAAGAATTTTATTTCCACTTTTACATAAAGAACTTGAGGCGCAGAGGTAGAGGGACTAGGCCAAGGTCATTCTGCAAGATAACAGCTGGTGTCTGTGAAGCCCTGTCCTGCTAATCTCTTAAATCAGGCTTCTGAGTTAACTCTGACCCCCCCCACCACCCCGGGGGCTGGGAGAAGGGGAAGATAACAAATGGATGATTATTAAAGGCACTCATGAATTGTTTTCCAATGTTCAGGAGACTTACCTGGGAATTCTTGTAAATAGTCTGACAATTTAGTGTGTGCTGGTAAATATAACACAATGTGTCCTTGCATGAATTTAGCTTTTTAAAAACAATGTAATTAAATTAGATCCCTTTGATGGTTTGTTCAAGTGGCATATTTGAATTGGTCTGAATTGATGTATTATGCTAAATGACTGGCTAGTCTGAAAAATTCCCTAGGGGTGAAGTTTTCATAGTTTCCTTTAAAACAGCAGTTCTCAAACTTAAGTGTGGACTGGTTAAAACAAGTTCTCAAATGCTGCTGCTGCTTCTTCTGCTGGTAGTATACCCTTATTTAGACACTGCATAGTGTGTGGTCATGCTTCAAACACCCCTTCCCCAGATGCTATCCATTTCAATAACATGAATATCTATAAACTATTGCTTTCATAAAACAAAGGCTTCCTATAGGCAAGACTGATCTGCTTGGATCTTACCCTTTTATCTGCCCATTTTTAGACAAGGGAGACTAGAGAAGGAAAAAGTGTTTAAAATGAATAGGTGCATTGCTTACGTCTCTCAGACTATTAACTGTACTTCACTCTGACCATAAAGAAGTTCCAGGTCTCTTGTGTTAAATAAAAACTGATGTAAAGAGGGGAGGGGGAAGAATAATGGGAAATTCTTACCCCAGCATCATATTTCTTTAAAAATTGTCATTTTTATTGAAGTAGTGGAAAGAATGGTGGTAGATAGATTCAGGGTAGATGTGGGGAGAGATACATCCTCCATCTCAGCCTTATTTTAAAACCCTCTGCCTTTCCATTGAGACTGAAGTCAACCACATTACTCTGCTCCTAACTACCTCCAGTCAAGGAAAATGGCAAGAAGAATTTTATTCTCTCACTGAGCCCCATCACACCTAGTCCTCCCTAGTTTCCCAAATGTGTGATCAATTTCAGTTCATCGTTTTTCCAAGGGTCACCATCTGCAAGTATATTTCAGGCTGTCTAATTCCACAGAAATATTCTCCAGGGTATAGAATCTCCTCCTCTGTGCAACCCTTTTAAAAAATAAATGCTATGTGAAAATGCCATCTCTCTAACCTGCTTACAACTAACACATGTGTATAGGGAAGCTTTATCCTTTATCCTTTGAAGGTCTGTTCTCAGTTTTGGAGAATGAATAATAAATTGCTCTGCAATAAAGTATTACAATGTGATGAAACATGGCACAGGCTCCTCCCCCTTCCCCAGCACCTGGGCGGATCTGGAAAAGCATGTGTGAAACTTCTTTTACCAGACACTTACTGGGTGGTCAGCATCAAGCTCGGTACCATACATAAGAACTCTGTGAGAGCATCTGTCTAACTCAGAGATCTTCCGGGGGAACCACAGTACATCCTCTAGCTCTGTTGAAAACACAGTACAGATTCAAAATTTAGCTCACAGATTGCATTTTGCCCCTTGCAACATTTGTCAGATTGCAAAATCACCCAACAAGCAAAACCCTCCCTTGCCTTCTTCCTCTGTCCAAATGTTCTCTGGTGGATTCAGCGTTACAATGGTGGTTTGAAATTTCAGCAACTGTATGAGCTCATCAAATTCTGTTTTGCCACACTCACAGTCCACGAAGATTTCAACCTCAGAACTTCTTCGCCGGGATCTCCTGGATTCAATGTGGACCATGTTGACATGTTTTTCCTGTTACATAAGAAATATCTCAAAGTCACAATTAGGTCACAGTAAAAGGAATGCTTTCCCTGTTTGATTCTGAAGCAACAAAGTATCAAATATTCACAACAAAGGAAAAGACGATTTTCTTATTCTTTGACTAACATGTGAATATTTTTCTATTATCTCTATTAGTAAGAGACCTGCATAGTTATGCCTCTGTGTAGTTTGTCCAGTCTCATTAAAAATGATGAGAGCATTTAAGATATATAAAGGGCCATATAAAATATCTTATAATAATGAGCATCACTGTTTCCCAGAGTGGTTCACATCCCACTGGTGATGCATGATTATTTTGGGAAAATTTTTGTCTATTACATTATCATCTAATCCCAAGATTTTTATCTTGTATTTTTATATGTTTCTGAAAAACAACTAAAACCCAAACTCCTGATTTTATAGTGATATAAAGCCTCCTTTTGAAATAAAGTTTTTAAATAACCTTTTAAATAAATCTTTTTTAAAAAAAAAAATACAAATGGCAGGCAGAAAGGGGAAGGTTGTATGAAAATGCCTGAGGTGTGGGAAATACTAGCCAAAGCATAAAAAAGAACAAAAAGAGGATCTGTGAGAGCAAAAGAAAAACAAATATTTACCACAGGAGGCAAAACAAAAGGTAAAATAAGCTGGACCCACCCAATGATGCACACCTGTAATTCCAGATGCTTGGGAGGCCAGGCAGGATGATCATAAGTTCAAAGCCAGCCTCAGCAACTTAGTGAGTCCCTTAGCAACTTAGTGAAACCCTGTCGCTAAATAAAATATTTTTAAAAGAGCTGGGGATGTGGCTCAGTGGCTAAGAACTCCTGGGTTCAATTCCTGGTATCACAAAAAAAAAAAGATAATCATCATCATCATCATCATCACTCCCAAATGGTATTACTAATAACTGTTCTCTTTTGGCAATCTCCAGGCCAACTTTATTCAACTATCACTCTGAGATAGATGGATTTCCTTACAATAAGGAGAAAGGGAAAATAGTAATTCCATGCTTAAAAATCAGGTTTGAATTTCCCCAGTGATATACACTTCTTTTCCCTTTAATTAATTGAAGACTAGGTTCTCCTCTCCATCCCAACCCACTACCAATAAGCAATACATCCCCATCACTCCAGATGGTACACCCTGATTATCAGTACAATTCCTGGATGAGCTCAGAATTTTCCGCATAGGAGCAGGATAAGTAGCTTTCAGTGCCAGAATTGGATCAGACAGAGTCTTCTCCTGTATAAAGAAACAAGTCTTGTGGGAAACCGTTCAAATGGTTTTTTATTATTTTAATATTTAGAAAATAATGCTCTATTTTCTAAATTGCCTGATAATATAAATAAGATTAAGTTCAAGGTTTAAGAGATTTCACATACATTATATCACTTTGGATTTTTAATGTCCTTTGGTTGAAGCAGATATTTTTAGCCTTAGGGAACTGAGGTCCAGATGGGTTAAGTGGCTTAGCTAAGGCCCCATGACTAGCTGATGGCAGAGTGAAAACTCAGGCTGCTAACTCCTTCTCCAGGGATTTTTCCACTGTAGCTAGCTGTCTAATTGAATTGGTTTTCCTTTGGGCACTGTATGGACACAGCCTGAGATGACATAATTATGTATAAAATACTATCCCAGATTTCCATTACCACTGTTTATGATACCTGATCCTTTCTTCAAGGTTAAAAGGGAACAAGGAAATGGTTGCCAAATCAGGCTGCTAATTCCCCGTCTATGATCATCGTAGAAGTATGATAATGCCTCATATCTGTACACTTTACAAAGCACTTTCACTCATAATATTTCATCCCAACAGCCCAGTCATTTGGGAATTATAACTGCTACTTTACCAATAAAGAAATTGCACTCAGGTAGCAGTTCGTGATTAGCCAAACCAGGAGAACACAGGTCTGAATCCCCTGACTGCAGCTCCAACTATCTTTTCTCTGCACAGCAGCCCAAGGCATCAAGGGCAGCTAGGCTTCTTATCTCACAGCTCTAATCAACAGCCAGTGTCCCCAGAGGAAATGCATTTGTAAGGGAGCATGTTTACTAATGGTTGGAGAATCCATCCAGTGTACATTGGCAAGAAGGCAATAGCTCTTCTAGGTTTTCCTGGGTTTATCTCCACCCAGGCTCTTTCTTGGGGTCCCAAATCACAGATTTGGTGCAAATCAAACTTCACACTTATGTTTTTTAAAGATACCCCATTTGATTCCTTTGGTGTTTGCATTTCCAAGTGTGAGGTTCACTTTTTTAACTTGTGGATTTTCTCACCTGGCCATAGTCTTTAAGTTCCTAATAGGCTAATTCTGAATTAATTTAATTAATAAATCACAGTTCATGTGAGTGTGCTTCTTTCATTGTTTGGGAGATCAATTCCTCCTGTAGGGCCTCATGAAGTTTGGTTTCCTTTGAATCTCTCCCCACATTATCTGGAAATTGACTCAATAATGTTTTGTAGCAAATGGCAGGTTTGTCACCAGAGACACAGTCATTTTAAAAGTTATGTGATAATGTTTTATATTCACCTGAAAGAGCCTCAGTGCTTTCACCAATCCACCCACTTCGTTTTTCAAGGAGAAAATGACAGCTGTCTTGCCACTCTCGGCAGCAGTATTGCTTTTGCTGCTTCCCTTGTTGCCTTTCTTGTCGTCATTCTTGCTAGAGTTAGCTTTATTCAGCTTCAAGAAAGTACAAACACACACACACACACACACACACACACACACACACACACAATATGTTAGGATTCCAGAGTTTTCTATCATCATTTCACCCCAGCTAGATATCCCATTCATATGCCAGAAGCCCCACCAAACATTCAAACTCAAGGTGAAGTTGCCAGGGCACTCATAACTTTCATCTTTAAATATTGGTCTAATTTACTCAGGGATATTATTTTCCAGTACTCCAAGATAGCATGTAAAGTCTAGAGGTTGAAATAAAAGGGAGATCAGATTTGCTTCACTTTAATGGCAACAAAAATCTGACCATCATTAAGTATAAACTATCATGTATAAATAGTCCTTGCCTTTCTTTATCTAGGCTTATTTTACAACACGAAATCTGGTCTTTTAGCCTAGTGGAATTATTCTTATAGAAACTGTATTGGTTGCTAAGCATAGCAAAACTAAGAACAAGTATGTATTTTTGACAATGGTATATTTAGCTTCAATTAAGTTTTTAAGACAAAATAATCCATCTAATCCTGAATATGTCAGAACATGTACTGAAACTGATTGCTTTGTGCAATTAGATCCACATTGTCAATGTGAATTGTCATTGTAAATCTAAATACACATGGAAGAAGTTGAGCAAAGAGGCCATCTTTGTCAGAAGATGGTATATGAAAAGTAACTGTTACAATTCAGCCATGAATAAAAAGGAAAAGAAGAAAAAGGAAGGAAGGAAGAAAACTAGCTAGCTAACCATTAGGAGGAAACAGTAGAATCTAAGTAATAAAGTCCCATTGGCTAAAGACAAAAATGAAAAATGCTAACAACTCAGATCACAATGTTATAAATGCAGAATAAAAAAGCTGGAAACTTTTCATGTAACATACAATGAGAAACTGTGATGGTCTGTTTCATGTTCTTTATATGTGAATGCAGAGTTTGGTAAATAGAGAACTATCTCCCTGGAAAATGATGATATAATACAACCACACCCATCCATTGTGTCCTGATGAAACTGAGAAGTGTATATTTAATATGGAACCAACAGAACAGTGATTTGCCATTGTTTTCCTCTGACTTCTCTATTGGATTTATTTTCATACATTAGTATTGCCTCACTAGATTTATATGTAATTAAAATGGATATTGTATTATTTATAACCTGAGAGAGAAGAATTTTATATAGACATTGATATTTGACAGCATGTTTAAAAACTCAAATGTCTTAGTACTCCCAACATCTGCCTCTTTTCTCATAGTATAACACACAGTTCTCAGATATTTAAGTGCCTTTTTTAATATGAAAGGGTCATACATTAACCGTTACTCTGAGTATTCTTTGTTTTCCTTCTAGAAGTTCATTATAACTTCAAAATTCCTCGATGTCATATCTCATCCAAATATTCAGATATTTAAATGTTAGAAAATCTATTTACATTTTTGGCCTCATTTTCGCAAATTGATTTAAATAGTTCTACACAAGTTGCTGTGATTACTTTTCAGCATTTTTACACGTAATAAGATACCAGTATGATGCATCCCTCTGGAACATATTTGAAGCTATAATATTAAAACATATTTTTCTATGACAAACTGAATTGGAATTGGCTGGTGAACACTGATAGTACATGAGTTGAAATGTCATTTAGTATTTTTAATGATTAGGAACCTGGATATATTTTTATTTCATTGCTGTGAAATAAAAACTACTATTTTTATTAAATCCCATGATTGTTACCTCAAATCAGGATCTAAAATCCTGCAAATACTGGGTTTTTTTGTTAACATTTTAAATATAAAAATTCCTTTAAATTCTCAAACAAGTGGAATACTGCTTACACAACTGCATCAATTAAAAATGGAGTAATGAGGGGCTGGGGATATAGCTCAATCAGTACAGTACTTGCCTAGCATGCACAAGGCCTGGGTTAAATCCCCAGCACCACCAAAGAAAAAAAAAATGAAGTAATGAGCCAAGCATGGTGGTCCACAACTGTAATCCCAGCTATTCAGGAGGCTGAGGCAGAAGAATCAGAAGTCCAAGGTCAACTTGGGCAACTTAGTAAAACCCTGTCTCTAAAACAATATAAAGAGGGCTGGGGATGTAGCTCAGTGGTCAAACACCCAGGGTTCAATCCCCAGTACTAAAAAAAGAAAAAAAGAAAAAAAATGTGAGGCATTCAAGAAAACTTTTGAAACAAGTTTGCTCTTTTTCTTATTCCAAAATCTTCACCTCCCTACAAACAATAATACAAAATATTAGTTCTGTGTTTAATGACTGGTTTTCAAAGACTTGGAGTGGGTGTAGGGAACACTATAAGCTTCTGGAAACCATAGAAATCTATTTCATCTCATAATAAATGGGCTTTCAAAATTCTACATACTTTTTTTGGTTATGGATTTGGGACATTAGTTCATACAAACTCTCCTTCTTAATGTTTAGGACACTTTCTACCTTGAGGAAAGAAAGTTTATTTAGCATGTAGCAATCAGTACATCTGCTTTACTTTATGAAGAGAAGAGGCAGACAAAAGAGAAGCAGAGAATTAAGGTGTGTATATTTACACCAGGTGTCCATATGATGAGGATAAGACTAGAGCGTAGCCCTGGAAAACGCTCTTGAATGCCAGGTGTCCAGTACTCACTGTTAAGCTGCCAAGGAGCTGATGCTCTTCAGGCACCGCTGAATCCAAGGAAAACCCTCTTCTTGCCCAGTATTTACTGGAAAACATCATCATTGCCGGCTGCATGAATCCCGATGTAATTTTTTTTTCTCAGCAGCAGGGGGAGCCTACAGGAGCAATAGAAGCTCTGGTGGAGATGCAGGGAGGAAGGGACAAGAGCTTTTGCAGGCTGCTCGGGAGTGCTGTCCAGAACCCTGGTGCTGAAGAGCAATGAGAATCCTCCCCTCCCCAGACTCCTTTATATGAGTGACTGAGAACTGATGGAAAGCTGATTAGAAAGAAACTCATTTCTGGTTTCTGATGGCCACAGTCAGATTACATATTTGAAGCCTGGGGTTATCTGCTCATGATGTGATTTGTTTGTTTCATAGGTTGAGTAGATATTTGGGCGGAGATGGTGGAGAACAATACATAAAGGGATGTTATTTGAACAAGGAAACAGTTGTCCCTTGATGTTAGCACTCATCTCTTAGCCTGCTGCTAGCAGGTTAGCCTCAGTCTTTAAGTAACTATGAATTCAAAGGTTCTGTGCTTTCATTCTAAAACTGAAGAAATAACTTAAGATCTACTGTTTATGTTAATATATTTTTTTCTAACCTGTGATGTTATGATTTTGTGTGTGCTTGTATGTGCAGTGGCTTTCATAAAAGGTACTGCTTCCTAATCCTCTCATCTCTGTACAGAGTGATGATCAGGCAATCTTATTGCAAAGAAAATGTGAGACTTTGATTTAGCCACCTGTAGATATAGCTCAAACATTAGCCGTAGAATATTCCTACCTGGAAATAAAAGGAAACTAAATACCTGTATAACAGTCATTCCTTTAATGCTTTTGATGGTCACTGAGTTTTTCCACTCCTCTTTTAACTAGGTCAAATCCAGCAATTTGGAATGCATAGTCTAATCAATATTCTTACTAGTCAAATTCTAGAAAGAAGAAATTTTACCATGCCACAGAAAAACATTGCCAACCTTCTGAAAAATGGAAAATTCTTAACCAACTGTACTTGTTTGACTAAAAACCTAAACAAAATCTGGGGCTGCCACAGCTTATCAATATAGAAAAAAAGATTAAAAATTTCAAAACAGGAGTTAATGAATTACTATTGACTAGGTTTTAATTATTTCTGGATTCTTGGGGTATTTAATTATTATTTTCTTTAATTCTCAAAATGATTATTTGGCTTCTATTTCCTCAATAGATCAGCTAATAAGGGAAACAAGTTTAAGTTGAAGTAATGATCAAAATAATAGCTAAAATTACTAAGTACTTAGTATTTCCCAATTTCTATTCTAAGAATTTTCTATATACTTTTTGTAAGTCAAAACATGATTAATTATCACAATAATACTTAAAAGGTAGTCATTATTATTTCCATTTTATGTGTAGATAAACTGAGGCATGGAGAGTTTAGAAACTTAGCAAAGATTCACACAATTACTAACCAAAGCAGAATTCAAATTCAGCCATTCTGACTCCAAAAGCCATGCTCTCCACCACCACATTGTACAGTCTCTTGAGTACTAAACAAGACATGTTGACAAAAGTAGGTTCTACAGACCATACATAGATTATTTCAACTAGAACAGAGTTTGGGAAGATGTGTCATTTAATAAAATTTGTGTTAGGCATTGAAACTAAATTCTTGGAATACAAAGATGAATGAAAGGTACCTACCCTCAAGGAGATTACAGACTAGCTCAAAAAACATCTATACAAATATACAAGTGAAACAAAACATATTGTTAATAAAATATTAACAGCACATGGGACAGAGTACTCAATTCTACCTTAGAGGGATCAGAAGAGGGTTCTTGGAGAATCTAAGTTGAATCTTTAATTGTGAGTTTGTTTATTAGTCACAAGGAAATTGGAAATAGAAATGCAATGGTTCCATGCAAAGGGGACAACATAAGAAAATATAAAACCATTGTTGCTCAATAATGATGGTGTATAGGTATGATGAGGTAAGGATGACAAATGATGGGCTGGAGTTGTGGCTCAGTGGTAGAACACTTGCCTAGTACATGTGAGGCACTGGATTTGATCCTCAGCACCACATAAAAATAATTTTTTAAAAATATATTATGTGCATCTACAACCAAAAACATATTTTAAAATTTTTTATTTAAAAAAAGGACTCTGAATGAGACAAGGCTAAAGAGGAAAGCAGGGTCCTTCAATGACATCATATGGGCTTTGCACTTCACCTTTTCTGATATGTGAGGGTCACAACTGGAAGGGCCTTATGCATGAAAGTCACATAAGCATACTAACATTTTAGAAAAGTAGCACCTTGGAAGATTTCAAGATTGAAGGCAGCAACCACATAGGATTTAAAATAGTCTAGCCAAGATGACAACCTGGCTTAAGCCAATAATATAAAAGATGCAATGAAAAGAACCAGAGATATGAAAGGGTAAATTCCACAGGGCAATATCCTGTTTGTATGTGGGAGCCAGGGGAAAAAAAGATATTAAAAGTCATTTATTGAAGACATTCATTGAAGATATTCAAGATTTAACTACTTTTTTTCTCTCTTATAAAAGCAACTCAGTTTATACTACAGAATTCCCCAAATGTTCACATACCCTTGGAATTGAGGAGGGGGATAAATGAAGGAGAATGAGCAACAGTCATTCAAAGTCTATGAAGCAGTCAGACAACTTTCAAAGCTTACAACAAAATTCTAGTAACCAATACAGTGTGGCAATGTCTAAGGATAGACATAAAGATAAATGGAATCAAACTGATAGTCTAGAAATAAACCCTATTGTTTATGATCAACACAATTTCAACAAAGTCATCAAAACAACTCAATGAGGGGGAAAGCAATTTTTTCAATTTTGGATATTCTGGGACAACTTTGGATATTCACATGAAAAATAATGAAGTTGAACTTCTTTCTACCTCACCTCACACACAAAAATTAACTCAAAATGGATTATAGACACAAACATTCGAGGTAAAAGCACAAAACTCCTAGAAGAAAACATAGGAGTAAATCTTTGTGACCTTGGATTATTTCATAGATATGACACCCAAAACATAAGCACTCATAGGAAAAAAAAAGTCAAATAGAATTTCATTAAAACTTAAAAATTTTATGCTTCAGGGTATACCATCAAGAAAGCAAGAAGACTACCCACACTATAGGAGAAAATTTGTATTTGTAAATCATATATCTTATGTATCTAGAACCAACAGTATCTAGAACCAACAATGAAAAAAAGAAGATCAATTTTTAAATAGGTAAAGGATTTATATAGACATTTCTCTAAATATATAGCCAATAGGCACAAGAAAAAAAATGTTCTGTCATTAATCCCTAGAAAAAGGCAAATCAAAAAACACAATGAGACAGCACTTCAGACCCATTAGGATGGCTGAAATAAAAAATACAATAAGTACTGGTGAAGAAGCAGAAATCTAGAACCCTCATACATTGTTGATGGTGTTAGAAAATGGTGTACCCTCTTTGGACAATGGTTTGATGTTACTCAAAACACGATACACAAAGTTACCATATAACCCAGTAACTTACTCCAGGTCTTTATAAAATGATGTAGTTCCTCAGGGGAAAAAAAAAAAAAAAAAACAGCAGTTCCTCAAAAAAGTTAAACCAAGAGTTACCACAGGGCACAGTCATACTACTATTCCAAGCTATACCCTGCAAAAAAATGAAAATATGTATCCATACAAAAATTGCATATAAATATCCACTAAGCATTAATAATTACCACCTGATGAACAAAGACAAAATATCACATCATAAATGGAATATTATTTGGCAATATAAAAGGAGCTGGCAGTTAATGTTTCAATGTAAATGAACCTTGAAAATGTGATTCTAAGTGGACTGGGGTTGTACCTTAGTGGTAGAAACACTTGCCTTGCATGTGTGAGGCCCTTGGTTCAAACCTCAGCACCACATAAAATTTTTTTAATTTTAAAAACTCTAAAAAAAAATGTGATTCTAAGAGGCCAGCCATAAGGACTATGAATTTTGATTTTGTTCATGTAAAGTGCTGTAAGATGTTGAAAAAAAAAATACTAAGTTAGTCATTGCCAAGAGTTGCAAGGAGGGAGAAAGTGGGGAATAGCTGCTGATAGGTCACAGGGCTTCTTTAGAGAGCGATGAAATGTTCTAAAACTTGATATTGGTGATAGGTGCACAACCCTATGAATATACCAAATACCACCAAGTTGTACATTTTAAAGAAGTTAATCTTATTTTGTGGCAAATACCACAAAATAAAGCTGTAACAGTTAAGACCTTTTATTTACCTCTCCCAGATAGCCAAGCCACCTCCCCTTTTCCCCCCCTAGCTCCGACACCAGGTAGATAAATGGAGTTATGTTCTGGAAAGGATAAAACAAAGGACCTCTAAAAGCACAGTTGAGAGCATGGGTACCATCCTGAAAAGAAAATGACTAAATAAATATATGTACTGGATTTTGAGATTCCTAAACCTCAGAAGGCAGAGAGCCAAATAAAGGGATAAGCATTCTTTGAAGAATCTGACCATGCCAAGAAGAAAGACCTCAAAATACTTAGAACCCAAGATTGCATTCAGAGCTCTTAAACTCTTTAACAATGACAAACCTCCATTTAAATATTTGGTAGAATATGAGGTTGGATTAGTTAAAATTACATTAAAAAATCAGCAAATAAAACCCTTGATAATAACTTCCAAAGAAAAATCAAAGGGCAAAAGAGGAACCTGTGTCATCTGAGAATTGCATTTACAAAGTCATAATAGTATCAGTACTAAATATTGACCTAAACAATATTATAACAACTATAACAACAATATGGTAAGATGGAAAGATAAGGAAGTAAGAATGTGATAGTCAGACAAAGGGAAGGAGACAAAGAGCTAAGCTCCCATCTTCCATGATGGAAAATCAATGGTAATGCCTAAAACTGAAAATCAAAGAGTAGCAATACATACATCTGCAACATTGAGATACAGAAGTAAATAGCAAAATAATCATCCCAAAGTTAGAAATCTTGCCACTGAAGGGTGAACAGAAAAAAAAGGGACAGTTTCTTATATAACAAGAAATCTTGTAGTAACCCTATGCACATGTAACAGTGATTATAAATATATAAACTAAAAATAAATTGTACTGCATAGTTGGACATTGGTTTTAATAAACCTGATTTTAAATCTTGCTTTGCCATCTGCCTCATTGTGCCTAAGAAGGACAAATTAGGGGCTGGGACTGTAGCTCAGTGGTTAAAGTGCTTGCCTCACATGTGAGGCACTGGGTTTGATCCTCAGCACCACATAAAAATAAAGATATTGTGTGTCCACCTACAACTAAAAAAAAAA